CTTAAATACAACATCCAGGCTTCCAACTGTAATTGATCTAGGCAAGAATATTCTCCCAGATCTTAAAAAAAAAGAAAAAAGGATCTGGATAGAATTCTATGGACTGGTTTGGATTTGTGTTCTGAATATTCCATGTTCTGCCTATTATATATCTGCCAAGGATAATGCCATGAATAGAAAGTTTATTACATGGTAACTAAGTCTACTGCTTGTGGTAGTACAGTTAGTTCTCAAGTTATGACTGTAATAGAGCCTGCCTGTCATGGTTGTAAGTTATGATGGTTGAATTTTTAAAATTTTTTAGCAACTTCTTTTGCAGAGGCTGTTAAGCAAAAATTATGGTTGTTAAGCAAACTAATCCTGGGTTACGAGTGCGGTTTTGCCAAAAAATAGAAAGTGCCAATTTTAGCAAAGCCATCATAAAATGCAGTCATGTGACTGTGGGATGTGATAAATGACATTAAATATGGCCTGGTTGCCAAGCACCTGAAATTCACTCACATGACTATGTGGAGGGGTGATGATCGGAACTTAGAATCTGGGTCATATATACCCCTCGGTAAGTCTATTGTAAATTTGAATGGTCACTAAGTGACTAGTCATAAGTCAAGGAGAACCTGTAATAATATCTTAATACTGTATTTACATTAAGAAATTAATATTAGAAACAATAACCATAATTTGATAAATTAATCAGGAAATCTGAAGTTGGAACAGTTGCTTATTCAAACCATAAACCTGTAAGTGTGTTAATATTAATTACACTGCTATCAAAAATTTCAAGGTAAACTAATAAATATTGTTTGGAATGTCAAGTTTAGACATTGCTGAAACGGTAGTAATGCTACTGGTGAGATCAATCATGTAAGTACATATACTGTACTACTGTCCTGCAGAAATGGCTGTACTGTAACATATTACATTTGAACAGCAAATAAAGGAAGAAGCAATGCTATAAATGTGTGTATGTACGTGGAAAAATATGAGGATATTTTTATTATGTGTATAATAAAATATGTGTATATTTTTTATTATATGTTTAGGCCAAAACTTGCATTCTTCATTCTTATCATTGTGATTATTGCATTCAAAGCTATATATAATTTTCTGTTGAAGATATGCCAGAATGGTAATTGTGCAAGACAGAAGCATGAATAGTAATGTAACAAGATTAGTTACATCTATTTATTTAATAAATTTATATGACAACCCAACTAACAGTGATGATTCCGAGAAGTTTCAAATTCGCAGCTTAAAACCGTGGCCGAAACAGTTATAATCACACTAGGCACTTAATTGATTGTCTATCAGACTGGAGTTCCCAGGCCTGCTGACAGAACTATGGCCTTCCAGAAAAGTAACAAAGTGGCAATATATTTTAAGTAATCATAGTTCTCTGTCGAGGTATCCAAATGTTTTCATCATTAAATAGCCTGGAAATGATCTGACTCCTAAAATTATTTCAAATCCACATATCCATTTAATTTTGTAGCCTTCCAAAATAGAAGCATCTATTTTGTTCATCTCTATTAATGTCCCAAGTACTGTCAGCATCACCAGAAATATTTATAGCATGGCTGTAAATCTTGGTTCTCCAGACACTTAACTCCTATAATATTCACAAATCGACTTATTCAAGTTTCCTTTTTTGCAGACAAGAATTAAGTAGATTTGCCCACTGCAATATAAAGAAGTTAAAAAAAAATCGATACATAGGCCTCTGCCTCAATCCTATAAATCCTAAGCTTTTTAAAATATGATCACTCTTTTTTTCATAATCTTGGAGGCACTTGCTCTAGGTGACAGAATGGTTCTCTTGGGACTCAAATTGCTGCTCCTGTCTTACTAATTTATTTCCCTACAGATAGTATAGCGTTCTCCGATATGGCCAATTTGTCATCACCATCATTGCAATCATTATTTCTCCCCAATGTTACATTTAGCTAGTACTATTATAGTGTAGGAAGATATAGAAATGGACTTTACTTATCTAAATGTTAAATGCTAGATTTTGGATCTGCTTTTTCTCTGTGACAATGAGTACTGTTACCCAATATTTTTTTATGATCAGCTGAATAAATCACAATCAGGTATAAAGCTTTTTTTTTTATCTTAAAGAAGTAAAAAAAAATCAGGAAATGAATCAGTATCAATATTTAGAAGTAGCTGAAGCAACAGTCAAATTATACTGACTTCTGAGATTCTAGATAGTGCAAAACAAATACAATTAAATGACAATAGTTTGCAGAATCCATAGCGACAGGATGTGTGTTATCTTAGTTACAAATATTGGTGGTATTCTAACAATATTTCTTGCTGTAGAACAAAACGGGATCATAGCACCAGCTAACAAATATGTAAAGGATTATTTATCCAACATAGCACACAGTAATTGTAGAGTTATGTTTCCTTCAGTTTCAGTACAGTTCATTGGCTTCAAAAGAACACGCATATTACAGAATCAGCAAAATCTCTGAAGTATTATAATTGGTGTCAATATATGTTCAACATAATCTCATGTGTTTACTTAAAAATAAATCCCACAAGGTGCAATTCAGCAGTTTTGGTAAAATAGACTATCATTATTGTGAATTTTGATGCATCTTAACATATAGAATCCCAGAATGTTCTTTGCATCTATTTCAACTGCCAGTGCACTTTAATATTTTCTAATTCCTTTAGGATGATTTAAGACATTCACCAGCCAGGAACAATGATTTTAGGATTTAACTTTAATGCATTCAAATTATTGAACAGTTTACTCTTCAAGATTCCCATAACCCAAATATTTAACTGTTTGAGGCCATTGTTTCAATGACTCCAGTGGAGTTGCTAAGATTCAAATATAGAAGAATGATTTGTTACAGGACCAATTATTAGAGAACTAAGAATTTCTGGTGAAGAATGTCTAGGGATATTTTTGCGACAACGATGGGATTGAGAATCTCCACAGACATTTAACCATGCAATTTCTAGTTATGTTTTTAATCAAGTATTTGTGGGGAGAATCTCATTAGAGGTGATTTGCATGGAGAAATGTAAAAGAATTAAGGCTACAATATCTGGGCTAGTTACTGCAGTAGCAAAAAGTATACAGCTATAAATCACTCCTTGCTCATTTAAAACAGATTAATTTTAACTCTAAAGGCAGCCATGTTTGAAAACTAAACTTTATTCTGTGGCGGTCAGGCAGAAAACATAATTAATGTAGAGGCATGCTTTTAAAAAATGAATTTTTCATGCCCAGCCTCAGGAAAGTTACTGAAGTGAAAAACAGTCACTTCAACATGTATGTTCATCTCTTTGCTCTGGGAAGTGAAGAGATGAATCTTCTGTCATTTTAACAACATTACAACTGTCCTATGAAAATGAGTAAAAATGATTGGCCCAAAGTTGCCCAATAAACTTTAAAACTGTGAATTAGGGCTTCTTTGGTCCTAGTCAAACCTTTAACCAATATATTACACTGGAAGTATAATATGCTATTAATATTCATTCATAGCTCAAATCAAACAATTATTACAGAGAGTTATCAGGAATTTAAACAATGAATTTGATGGAACTTGACAGTAAGCAAATCAATATACACTACCTATATAATGTTAACGTTCATTTTCTTTAATGAATTCACTGTGTTTAGCTTCTAATCTTTGTACACTTGTGCAACTTACAATCTCCCAGTTTATGTAAATGTTTTGATATTTCCAGCTTACAGTGAAAGATGCAAACCCCTGTGCAAACAGAATATAGTACAGAATACATGAAGAATGTAATAAAAACTGGGCTGCAATGCAAAAATGTTTTCAAATGTCTATAAAGTACTATGCTCTAAGAATATCTTTTCCTGGCTAATTTCTTACCTAGAATTTATATTGGATATTTAAAGCTCAAAAAGTTCTAAATTGCATTGCATTGCATTGTTTTATTTTTCATACTTTTCTTCCCTTTAATTCTTAAAAATGGGGACATTCCCATGTGTGCTATGAAACTTGCCTTTAAAAGATATTTCCTGACTTACAATCATTTGTTTAGCAAGTATTCAAAGTTACAACGGCACTGAAAAAAGTGACTTATGATCTGTTTTCACACTTACAACCATTGTAGCATCCCCACGATCAAAATTTGGGTACTTGGCAACTAGCATTTGTAATCTTCCCAGCTGGCTTCTGACAAACCAAGTCAATGCAGAAAACCAGATTCATTTAAGAACCACAAGATTCACTTAGAAAATGCAACAATTCATTTAACGACTATGGCAAAAACGTTGTAAAATGGGGCACAACTCACTTAATAACTATCTTACTTAGCAATGGAAACTTTGGGCTCAGTTATAAGTTGAGGACAACGGTATCTGTACTAATTACCAGATAGTATGGAAAACGGTATCCATCTGTGAGAACATGAGTACCATCTAAAATAACCCTAAAGCAAATTCTATTGCTGAAGGGATGTGCAAAGTGTTCTATGCATAGGAGGACTAGCTTGAGGTGTCTGCCACAGGATGAAAACTAGCATATTTAAGAGAGAAATGCTTCGGGAAGAGACAGAGAGAGAGAGCAGGGAAAGGTCAATGAGGTTGCAGGCAAAGAGCAAGGAAAGGAAGGCACTAAAAAGTGGATGGATCAACTGCATATACTGCATTTGAAACCAAGCACACTGGAAATGGTAATGGCAAAGGGAAAGGGAGGAAGGGAAGGCAGATTTGGTAATGGTTGGGCTGGTGGTTACGTCATGATTGAAGCCAAGGACATCAGCAGCTAAGGACAAGGAACATCAGGGGTTGGAAGAGCAGCAGATGGGCCATTTGGTAAAAGAGGGGACAACGGGAAAGCTAAGAAAGTTTCTCCCAATTTTGTTTCAATTAAAATGCAGAACAACCAAAAGTGCTTTGGGGGTTTCAGTTCTATCAAACTGCAGTACCCCTGAATGATTCCGAAACACAAAACACATTTTCTTTTTCATGGCCATCCCTATCAAAATCAACTAATGGAAGTGTCCAATATTTAATTGTATTAAATGATTGCACTTCATCTAGTACAGCCAATCTGTAACCAGATACATAAAAAACAAAGCAAAATCAGAAAGCTGAGTCACAAATGATCTTACAAAAATACATTTAAAAAGGACTCTTCCCAGTTTGCTTCCAAACTTCTTTTGCCCCTTTAATGGTTTCTCGTTTCACACATTTCCAGTAACCTTGGACTCCTTGTTGCTGAGGCACCTGTTTAAAAAAAGCAAGAGTTACCAATCTATATTTAAGTTATAGTTTTTTAAGGCTGGCTACATTGGGTGAAGTCAGCTAGTCAGATCCATCTGTCTGTTAAATTGATCTGTCAATCATCTCTGCTGGTCCAAACACATTTACCTGATTGCAGCACACATTTACTTTTGTCCTGGTTAATCATCTATAAATGAACCTATCACAACCACATATTTTTTGTGGCTGGAAGCTACTGGATGAATGAATATTGCTTTATGATTAGGGATGATCTATAAATCATGAGCAGCGTAGTTCTAGAAAGGCATCTGTTTATTTTATTTATTTATTTTAGAAAATTTATATTGCTGCCTACTTGCACATAGTGACTCAAGACTGCTTACAAGGATATAAAAACACCATATAAAAGAAAAAAAGAATAAAAAGAAAAATAATGAAATACTTCTGCAGTTTAGCTGTTTTATGATTTGATATGACATACAAATATAGCTGTGCCTTTGTTGGTTCTTCCATTTAGCCATTTAATTATTTTGTAGTAAGAGCTAAAAGTTGAATTTGCTTATTTTTTGGCTTCCTTCCCCATCATACTTGAGCAAAAGACATCATTTAAAAATGTTTCGAGTACATAATTATCTAGTTTCCTTTTATTATTTTACTCATTACCATCATTAGAAGTTTTGGGGTTAGTAACATGACTTGGGGTGGCTCCCAATGACCCCAAGGAAATATTTACCATCTACATCAAATGATTATCATTTACATCATCTGTCCGTCCATCCATCCATCCATCCATCCATTCATCCACAGCAGTAACACAAGAGAATGTGCAGAACCTCAACATAGCATATTGTATCGAGAGAGATGATAGATACAAAGAGAGAGATAAACAAGTTGTATATCAGCTAATCCTGTATTATAAACTGCTTGTTTTAATAAGATAAATTATGTTCTATTATTACATATTTATAAAGCTGATAAATTAAAAAAATTATACTAGGTCAGGGCTGTCAAACTCACATCATCATGGTGGCATCACACAACATATTGGGATTTCCCCCCCTTCGCTAAACCGGGCATGGGCATGGGCAGGGCATGACACATCCAGCCCGTGGGCTGCAAGTTTGACCGCTGTGTCATATATTTTATTTTTTTATTTTATTTTTTTATTTTGTCAAAGCTTACAATACAATAGAAATAAGAATAAACATAAGTTTAAATATAAGAAATAGGAACTTATAATTGGGGACAATAGGATAGGGACAGTAGGCACGATTGTGCGCTTGTGCATGCCCCTTAGGAATGGGGTGAGGTCAATAGAGGTTAGTTTGAGGGTAAAGAAGTGGGGATTTGAGCAGGTGACAACAGAATCAGGTAGTGAGTTCCAGACATTGACCACTTTGTTTCTTCCTGCAATCAAGTTTGGAGTGGTTTATATTAAGTATATATCTGTTGTGTGCTCTTGTGTTGTTCTGGTTAAAACTGAAATATTCATTAACTGGTAAGATGTTATAACATATGATTTTCAGTACTATGCTTAAGTCCAATCTCAAGTCTGGTGCTGTAGGGTATTCTGTTGCAAACAGAGGAATGAAGTACTCTTCTGGTAAAATACTTCTGGACTCACTCAATTGTATTTATGTCTCATATACAGTGCGGATTCCAGACAGCAGAGCTGTATATAAACTCTCTATGTATAAACTCTCCTAACTTTATTAAAATAGTGAGGCAATCAGACATTTCTACTGAACATTCAAGAGAAGAATTACCCTTAATCCACGATGCATCCTGTTTTTGAGGACTCCAAGGAACTCTGCGTAGCTGAGGCAATTATCTCCATCTAAATCAAAGATCTTGAAGATGGTGTCCAAAACATTATCTGAGAGCTCCTGGCCAGTAGCCACTTTCACAGCTCTCTTGAACTCCGCTAACACAAACAAAGATATTTCATGTTTCTATTAAAAATAATAGATTTATAAATCTAAAGAATAAAGAAATCTGAGAACTTTACACTCATGAAATAGTGTGATCAGAAAATGGGTGTCCACGGCCATGCTTAAATAGCTATGTAGCACTGTATTCATTGAAGAAAAATTACTTCTTTTTTCACAGAGGTGGAACCAGTTGTTTTATGAAAAATAGCTAGCTTTTTTTACCTGACTCTGCTTTTTGAGCACATAAATTTGCCCAGTAAACAAAAAAATTGAATTATAATATTTTACCTGGAATATTGTAACTCCTTTTATATTTCTGAAGGAATTGTTTTTTCCTTGACTATATGCACTCTAAAAGATTTATGAAATCTATCTATAATTAAAATTTGCTTTTCCTTGCCTTTTTCTTGTAAGGGCCTATGACAACAGACAGAAGGGGGGGAAGGATGATAACATTTAACCAAAATGCAATGTAATAAATAAAATTAAATCCATATCAAATAGGGGGTTTTATGCATTTTTAAAAGGATATAACAATTCTGTACTAGCAATGGATTAACAACAGATGATGAGGGAAAAGAGAGCATTACTATAAAGCAAACCAAAGATGGTGTTCATTTTTGGATTCTATTGTCTTTAATTTCTTATTTACATAAATGGCAGCAGCAAATTGATCCCATGTTTACTTCTTAAAGGTTCAGCTTTGTAGTAAGGTTTATAAATGCTATTTCACATACTATACTTCATATATGCATTCCAGTATGTCACTTCTTTTTTAAAGTGACTTAAAAAAGAAGAAATATACTTAGTTTTTGGTAGAGAAAATCCATATACAACTAGGCACACTGTATAAATATTTGTTTTATACAGTAAAAAGTGTGGTTCTTTGTAAGAGCTTTTAAATGTTCTTTTTTAGTTCCTTTTTTTAAGGAGGGGTCAAAATGAAGATTCTAAATAGAGCTTTAATTGAAAATATTTGTTTTAAAGGTTGTGTTATTTATTCTCTTTTCCAAATCAGATCAACAGTCTCGAAGAGCTTTGTTCATGCTCACGAGCTATTTTTCATTAATTAATTGAGAAAACATCCATTGTTTCAATTTTCTAAATGAACTCAAATTGCTGAACTGGACTGACAGTCTAAATTGAATGGATGATTTGGACTGAAACTGATCTGCACACCTCAGTTATACTATTATTCTAGCATAGCAGCAAAGCACACAGTATTGTATTTGTTAAATACACTTTTTAATATATTTTACTACATCTTAAAAAAAAAAACCCGAAAGGAGGCATCTCCCAATATTTTTTTTTAAAAAAACCTCCAAAACTCTTGGTGACTTCATAGACACATCCATATATTTTTCTTGGCAGTAATACAGAAAAGACTTTGATTTCCTCTTCCTTCCAAAACCTCACCAGACCTGATGTTGTTTAGCTTCTGAGCCTTGACAAAGCCGAGGTGGTGTTGCTACCTACTGTTAAAAATCAGGTAGCAATATTGACTGGAAATCATTTATTATTCCATTTAGAAACAATTTCCACTCTTTTCCTTTGTGCGTACTAAGAGATCGTGATTTGTCATCTTGTAGCTGTCATAATACGTAGTGAGGGACTGACATAATGCATTAAGTTCCAAATAACTTTACAAAGCAAAATTGACACAATGGGGACATTTTCATTTCAGAATTCATACACATTATCTTTTCATTTTGACTTCATGAAGAATGATGAAATGGTGCACTTCTTACCCCGTTTAACGGGACGGCTGGCTACAGTAAACATTTTCAGAGCAATTGAAAAATCTTCTAAACGGTTTGTAAACTGGCAGAAAGTCTTAAATTCATCCATACTGATACTCTGGAATACCAAAAAAGGTGAGGTGTTTAATCAAGACAGCAAAATCTAAGTGTATTCATCAGGGATTTGTCAAATCACTTATATAACTACGTATAAACAAACAAAATAACTTGGTTATATTTTGTGGTACTTTAGAAAGCTCTTCAGTTATATTATAGATGCTTAATTCAAGATGAGATAACTTATACCAACCTCTCCTGCTTGGATTCTCTCTTTCACATTTTGCCAATAAATTTCATTATTTTCTTCATCAGTGAAATATAGCAACCACTCGACAAAATCTTCCTTCCTCATGAAGGTTAGACCTTTGGAAAACTGATTGAATTCCATTTCTTGTACTTCTGCTTGTAAATCCTGCATAAATCTAAAATAAATAAGCAAATAATATGACAGCTTAATTAAGGGCAGAAAGGGGCAAGCAAAAAGATCAAGTGCTTGAGAGCCTTCTCTATGAGAAAAAGCTAAAATGCCTGGAGCTCTTTATTTGGTAAAAGGTGATTGAAGCAGACATGACCAAAGTACTAAATATAAAATCATATATACCAAGGACACAGTAAAGGAGACGTTATCTCACCCTCTTGAAACAGTCTGACCTGGGATCCTCCAATGAAGCTGAACCAAAAAAAAAATGGCACTGAGAAAAAGCATTTTTAACAAAATACTTTTGTGAAAAATAGAGTGGTAGTGTTAATTACCATAAGACATAGTGATGACTACTAATGTAGATGGCTTTAAAACAGAATTAGATAAATTCATGGAGGGCAGGTCTGTCAAAGGCTTGGGAATCAGTGTTATCTCTGGGATAGAAGCAACATGTCAGATTCAGTGGAGAAATAGTATGAGAAGGCGACGTCTTTACTTCCTGCTTAAATGCCCCAGAAGCATTTTGTTCACCAAAACTAAAGGTTAGATTAAGATAGTCTTGGCCTGATCCAGCAGAGTTATTCTTTTGTCAAGACAATTATTTTCATACTGCATTTTTAGCCAGATAATACTTTACTCGTATCATCTGATAGCACTGTGTAACTAAGGAGTATCTCTTAGAGTCACTGTTGTAGGAGAATGCAACATACAGACTGTTAGCTTCCATTTCCTAACAGCAACAACTTTCATAACTTCCATGTTGCACCATAATAGAAATTATGCCAAGAGGGCAGAGTTCTGTGAGCTGTTGACTAACAAAAGTTGAGTAAAAGAAATTACTAGCTTTTAAAAGATTGCAATTTTAAAAACACTTAGCTGGAAGAAATTAATAAATGCCATGAATAACAAAAATATTGTGCTTGAGCAAGTCTACCACTAGAGTGCCCTCTAAATTCATCTATGTTCATGAGTAACTAGGCTGAAAAAATGTTGATATCTGCAATTTGTTTAAAGTTGCCTGAATGAGAAAGCAGACTTAAACAGATAATGTAGATAATGTGCACATATACTTTAATTAAAATCTGTTTAAAAAGAGACAAAACTTTTAAGACATATAAGTACAAACAACAAATTATTTGCTATAAAATACTCTTGCTCAAACTAATGTTACTGTTATTCAAAATTTTGCTAACAAATGTATCATGAGCATCAATGAAATACAAATCAAAATTTGACTATAGAATGGCCATCAGAGAAAAATCATTTGTATCTGTATTCATAGAGAGAGAGATAGGCATGCATATAAATTTTTATTTCTCTCAGATTCTTATTTGTTAAGTCTCTATCCCATTTTTAAAATCAATTTATTAACTACATAGAACACTTGCAGATTGGGAATTTATTTATTTATTCAATTTCTATAGTCACCATCTTAAACAAATGACTCAAACAACTAAGAACAGGACGGCATGCAGAACAAAATTAAATCCTGTATATATGGCAGTCAAGAGAAAATATCATAAGAGATGTCAATATAGCCAGGAAACCAGGTCATTCACAAACATAGAATTATATGCCTATCTGTACAATTGTTTAATTGAAGACTTTTGATAAGATTGTTTCCCCAGTAGACTGCATTTGCACATAACGTTTACAACCTACAGATGAACTTGACCTTTTTTATAATATTTACTTGAAAAACAGGAGAACATAGATTCAGAAAAGTATAATTAACATTTTCAAATTATGTATGATTTCAGGATGCATATAATAGGGAGTTTAGGGCTGAAACATTAATTGAAAAAAATATTGGGGCACCTAGTAAATGAGGAATGTGTAGGCAGGGCATCTACACGGTACCAAACATTCCCATAGAAGAGAATATACAATTGGCTGTTTTCTTTAATTAGGTTGTCTTTATCTAGTTTTAGGATTTGTGTGGAGAACATATCACAATTTATTTATGCAGGAATATTGAAAATTGAAGAGTTTACAAACTTTTAAACCCCAGTTTATCCAGTTTTAGGACTTGTGTGGAAAACACATCACAATTTAGCTCAGCTAACAAACTTTTAAACCCCAGTTTATCCAGTTTTAGGACTTGTGTGGAAAACACATCACAATTTAGCTCAGTTCACAAGCTTAAACATCAGTTTATATAGCTCAGGATTCAATTGTGGAGCTCTTGGTGCTGTCATGTTGGGCATTAGGCAATGCCTCCAAACGAGGAAGCTCAAAAAGCACCAAGAACTCCACAATATTAAGAATTACCACTGTAAGATATAATCAACTCTTCTTACATCTTGAATTATAGGCCTTTCCAAAATATTTTGTGGTGCAACCCAACCAATTCCTACTTGACATCTACCATTTTCTTCATCTGTAGCATTGTCCTTTGCACTTGTTTTTTTTATCTTAGTTCCTTTTATTCTTCTTATGGCATTTTAGACACATTCTACAGTTGCTAGTAGCCATTCTTCTCCCCTCTCCCCGTTTTTTTTTTGGATCCAAATGAACATTTGACAAATTCCAGATGCTCCCTGGAGAGAACAAAACATTCCTGTTGCTTCTTGCAAGGTAAGCCAACTGTAGCAGCAGTCTGATTAGGTCGTTCTAGGTGGACAGTTTCTATATACCTTTGCTTCTCTTCACACAGAGAACAAAACAAGAGTGACTGCATCTTTTTCCTCCTTTATCCACTAGTCTCCTGAGAAAACTGATTTTCTAGATTCATTTCAACTGAGCTTCATTAGCAATTTGAGGATAGAAACAAACTAAGTACCCTGTGGAGTTTTTGATGAAAAAGAAAACAAAGGCAAATGAGGATAAAGCGGGCTGGAACATTGCAAAGGCACGGACACCCAATTTTAACCATGATGATGCCAAAATGGTGAAGTGTGTATCATAATTGAGGCTTCAGTTCAATTTTGGTAAGACTAAGTGATTATGAAGTTTCTGACTTCAGTGACCTTCTATCTTTATCTCTAAATGGGTATGGTGCACAACTCGGGGATCTTTCTAGACACATCCAAAAAAACAGGAGACAGCTCTAACTAGGAAGAATTTTGTACAGGTTCATCTTGTGTGCCAATTACACCTAGACCAGGGACCCAACTTATGATAGTTCATGCTTTAGTTACTTCTTGGATGGATTAGGTAACAAGGTCTACATAAGGCTACCCTTAAATAGAATTTGGAAGCCGAAGCTAGTCCAAAATGCAGCAGTCTGGACTGTGTTGGACGCTTCATGAAATGGCAACGTGATGCCTCTACTTCATAAGCTGTATTGACTCTCTGAGAGTACAATTCAAGTCATTATTACTTATAAAACCTTCACGGCATGGGGGTCAGGATAGTGGAAAAGCCGAAAGTCTCTCTCTCTCTCTCTTTTTCCCTCTGAGAATGGAGCTGGAGCTGGTATCCTGTGATCCAAAATAAAGAATGATCGATCGGTAGGAAAATGGGGTGGGGAATTTTCCTGCAGACTTTTTTGGGAATTTTTCCAGGGTCTCTGCTGCTTTCTGCAGAGACCCTGGGAAAATGTCAGCAAGCCACCATCGGTCAAAATTCATATTAGTGGTCTGCAGGATTTAAAATTATGAGTTTGGTCCCTGAGGTCCAAAAGATTGGTGACCCCTGCCTTAAAGAATCAAAACTGTTTATAGCATTGTTCTGCCAATTTCAACGAGCCCAATTAAGGCAACCTGTGCATGAAGCATTTTTTTTTCTTTACCCCTGGACTAAACAAGATTCTGCCATTCTTTTTTAATACGTATGAAGCTGGTTTTGGATCTGTAGCCTGACTTAGCGTTTATTAACTATCATGATAAATTTGAACCCACATGAAATTTTCCTGTTTCCTACCTGAGTCCTAAAGCAGAATTCTTGCAAACTTCAAGTTTAGCCCTTCTCAATTTCCCTTCCTGTTTTGCAATATGCTTGAAAAAAAACCCAATGCTAGTTTAAAAGCTGTATTGCCAGTGTGAAATCCATAACATGCATATGAGGCAAATTGCCTTCTTAATGGTAGAGAATAAATAAAACGAATCAAGTGCACCATGATTTGCTCTACAAAAGACTTGCTGTGTAGCATGATTTAAAGCCACTTCTGCATGTTAACTTTAAATTATGTGTTGCAAAGAACAACAAATCAACAGGAAAAGTGAAAGACTAAATAATGAAGCCTACATTTCACTTCAGTATTTTGAAAAAACAAAATCTCTTAAGCATACATAAGCACCATTAAGCCTTATGAATGAATCTCTCCCCCCTCCCCCATCCACATCATTTTAAGGAATGTAAATTACATAGTTAACAATATCTAAGCTTCTGTGACAGGTTTTAAAGCAGCCTAATCAAATGTAATCACTCCTGCTTTCTCTGGCTACTCCGCTGATCAATGGAAAGCCTTTTTAACAAGAACTTGGAAAATGATAAAAGCCTTTACCATCATTTTCCCCTCTGCCTTTGACAATGATCTATGTCTGTACAGCTCATCAGTCATCTGTTGTAAAAACATCATGGCACTTTGATCAAAAAGCCAACAATAGCCTCCCATGTGAGGTAGAAATGTAAAAAACTATGAGATAGAAATCACATTTTTCTTGAACAACAGAACCCCAGAAATGATGTGCTTGAGTTACTTACAAATAAAATAATGTGAAAAGTGATATCTCCACAGAGCTTTAAAGAAAAATAGACACTGATCCTTTCATTCACCTTTCTGTGCATTAAAACAAACTATACTGTCATGTCACAATGCAGATGGATTGTGGATATATGCGGGCAGCGATAAGGAGACACATACCAAGTGCCTGAAAAAGAAATGCCTCTGTTGAAAAATTACCTATATAAAACCCTAAACTTATCCTAACAGCTCTAAGAGCAAAATGTGGGAGTCCAATTTTGATTACAAGCTTCTATCTGGGCGGTAGGCAGAGGTCCTTAACCTACATTTGTTGAATGTAGTAGGTACACAGAATTATCAGTGTTATGCCTCATTGGATCAATGCAGGATTTTATCGAATTACTTGAGACATTCCATTTCACACTATAAATGCAAACAATCTTTTACTGGTGCACTCTGGACTTAACACAGTTACAGATCTTACTGTACCATGAGAAAAAGGAGCAAAGGAAATGAACACATTTAGAATTTAAGCATATCAAAAACTTAATTATCTTGCAGAACTGGAACATATCCTAAATCCATGGACAGGCAGGTTTTTGTGGCATTAGGCATGGCCAAATCAGAATTTCTCCTTTTTCCTATCTTAATGTCACCTCTCCACTATTCTACCTTAGTTTTAAATCAAAGTTAGATACAATGTTTGCATGATTTGCATGCATATTTTTCTAATATTATTCTGTAATTAAATTCCCATGTAAAATGCATTTCGCTACTTTTAGCAATATATAGCTTTTTGTGCTCATTTATCCAGTTTTGCACTTTGTTCGAAAGTTGTAACAACATTCAGAAATTTCCAAATACCAGAGAATAACTAAATTTTGATTTTAGAAAATTTTAATCAGATAAATTTGTACTGGAATGAGAACCACTAGGTTTCTTTTTGTGAGATGAATGGAAGAAGTGCTATGCATGTTTAAAAGAGGATTGATCATACTGAGTAAAAATAATACGATCCATTTCTGAATTCAGGATTAACCAGATGAATATAGTATGTGAATTATGACTGTGGCTGCTTCTTACACTAGCATTGACATTCTGTTGATTGCGAAAGAAGCAGTTGTATTATGAATTCCATCTAAATCAGGGGTGTGAAACTGTGGCCTAGCTCCGTGAATGGGAGAAACCTCACAAAACCTCACATAACAGCAACATGACACTGCAAGTTTGACACCTGTGATCTAAACAATTTAGGCTTAACAACAAAATAACAGACTTGAAAAGGACCTTCTAGTCCAACCTTCTGCTCAAGCTGGAAACCCTATACGGTTTCAGAGAAATGGTTGTCCAATTTCTTCTTTTCTTCCCAATGTCTTGGCTTTCCAATATTTACATCTATAACACAGGAAGGAGCCACTCTGCAGAGGTTCCAATGGCCCAAAGATACCATTGAATACATATAAGATGAATCTTAAAGTGAAAAGGGCCAGCACTGAGCCAAATGGACGAAGGCTTTCAATTGTTCTTTGGAAAGTTATACCTGTCCTTGTATCCTATTCAGTACAATGCTTTGGCCAAACTATTTAAATTGTGAGCATTAACAATATATTTCATGTATTAGTGTAATATAGGCAACAATATGTTTATTAATAAGCCAGTGACAAAAAGAATCCTCACTTGCATAGAATAAGGAAAGCAAATCTGGAATAAAATTGAACTGGATTTCACTTGGTTTGACATTGGTCAATATATGTCCAAACTGATGGGTATTGTTTTTACTGTTATGAGGGAATGTTGGGTGGTTTGGGGCCAGTCGCTCTTTCTTAGCTCAACCCATCTCACAGGGTTGCTGTGTGGAAAATAGGAGGCAGAATAAAAATCTAAAGCCTTGCACCTGAGAATCGGAATTTTTGTATTATGATAGAAAGTATAGTAGACTTCAATGATTTGGGACACCTACAAACAACTGTATGCCATATTTTCAAAATTTACTGAGAATCATTTTCACTCAGATGATCCCAAATTAGAAAGAAAGTGCTACTGGAGTCTAAGAAAAACAAAATAACATTTTATTTCCCATACAGTCTTATTTTGTGCTTCAATTATGAAGACTTCTATTCAGTGCTGATTCACAAACAAACATCTGAAATTTGGATGCCAAAGTATTCTTATTTTCTCAATGTATATCTAGATGACTGTATTTTACATACTTCTGCCTAACCTGATATAAATATATCTCAAGCTATGTTTTTCAGCAGATGGTAACCTTTAGGAAAATAATTATGAATATTAGCATGTGCAGTAGTCCTGAGGAAAACGAAATAGGATTCAAGCAGAGGGACCCATTTGCAGAAGATTCCTCAAAGGACCGATACTAAATTTATTTATATTACTAAGTAGGATTTTTTTTTCAGCATTTTTAAAGGTAGAAGTCATATAGCTTCAAGTCTTATATTTCCAAGGATACAGGGCTTTTTGTTTGTATTTAAACAGTCTCTTTTTAAAAAATAGCATTGTAAAAGTTTATTCCCAATACAAGATCAACCAATGCTCATTTTAATTAAGTGTTGAGTAAGAAAAAATTAATTTAAAACAAATCATATTACAATCCTGTCCTGAAGGACAGCATGGCATTCAAAAGACAGAATAAAATGCAGAATTGTAATAATATACATAAAAGACAGATGAAGATAATCAGAATCTCTATTATTAGTTAAGCATGACTTGTTTTATTAAATGTCTAAAAGCAAGAACTTAGTCTAGGCATTTTCTGGGAATAGCACTATAGAAATTAGTTCTATTAAAACATTCTAGAGGGAAACAGTATCTTGACATAACATCTAATGCAATTTCTACAGTGTCCCAAATATGGAAAGTTATTTGGGATCCTTCTGAAGTAAAAGATATGACAAATATTTATTAAAAATCAGGATGAGATTCCAAAGTAACTTTTTACATCTTGCAACAAAGAACAGAACAGGATGATACAAGGTAGTCCTTGACTTACAACCACAATTAGGACCAGAATTTCTAAGCTAGGTGGCTGTTAAGTGAACCATACTCGATTTTATGACCTTTTTTGCCATGGCTGTTAAGTTATTCACTATTGTTAAGTGAACCATGAAGTTGTTAATTGATCCAACTTCCCCCATTAGCTTTGCTTGTAGGTCAAAAATAGTGAGCACATGACCTCAGGATGCCGCAGTTGTCATAAATGCATGCTGGCTGCCAAGCGCTTGAATTCTGATCATGTGGGGATGCTTTGATGGTTATATGTATGAGAACTAGTTGTTAGCCACTTTTTTCAGTGGCATTGTAACTTCGAATGGTCATTAAGTAAATGGTTGTTAAGTCAAGGAGCACCTGTAGTTGATGTTAATTAAAAACAATCTTATCATGCATCCCAGTTTGCTGTATTTTTTTGCTCCAGCTGATTTACCAAAAATCCGCAAACCAGAAAAGCGGAATCTCATCTACCAAAGATGTTCATGCCTTGAAAGCTTAAATTATTAAACCCCTGGTTCCACTTTGTCTTCAGAAGTATTGGGTTAACCACCTGACAAATCTGGAATAAGTTTTAAGAGAGTACTAAACCCACATTCTGTGTAGGCCTCTGTAACCCTGCTGATCATAATCCTTATCCAGGTTTAGCTGTTTTAAATATTAAGCCCAATTCAAAGATTTTATAACACTACCTTTGGAATTCCGAGTACTGAAGTTTATCTTTTCCTCCTTTTCCAAAAAAGTGAACCAGTAACATGGTGTTGATATCAGAACCTTCCATTGCTGATTTCTGCAAGCAAGTAAAAACAAATCAGGAGTTAACATTTGATAGAATACCTCCAGATGTATTTTACTTTTGTAATCCTGTCATAAATAACTGAAGCAAAAGATGTAATTGTTTTCCCTGAACAATGCAAACTAAAATTCACGATGAACTTTAAATGAAGGAAGAGGCCTTCACAGAAATGAAGCGATTTACTATTATAATATTATAACTTTCAATTTTTATCAGGCTTCAGATAACAACTTTCTCAAATTTTATCTTGATGTTAAAAATTGCATTATCTTTTGTAATATAGGGTTTTACTGTATGGTCATGTACCGTAGGCCGTTCCCACAGTCAATTTTAAAAAAAACATCAGAATATTTTAGCCCCATTTCTAATGGGTATATGAAAAAAAAATATTATTAGTTTTTAATGTTCATCACACAGGTTTCAAGAAGAGTTCTATTAGGAGTTAGTCAAGTCTCATTCCGAAAAAGAAACATTCACATAAGGAAGCACTCTACGACAACTGCAGCTACTTTAAAATATTATTTCTATTCTTACCAGTGACGAAAAATATTTCAAATGAATCATTATAACAAATATTTTGTCAGTTATTAATACAGCTTTTTAAAATGTACTCCGGGATTCTATGATTTTTTAAAAAAATAAACTCTTAAAATATTTACTGTGATACTTTGCAGGTGAATAGTTACAGTATATAAATAGTACTGATTCCAGAAAGCAATTATCTCTATCTGAGAAAACTAGACTTACTTTAAAAAAATATAAAAGAGTTCTAAATTTATACATCAAACTTTACCTATGCCAAAATATGAACCTAATAGCTACATGAATTCATCTCTTTCTTCTTCAAGAGAATAATTCATATAACGTTGGGTTTTTTTCCCTTAGTAAAAAAAATGCTTAGGAGAAATCAAGGAATGTGTTTCTACATTTCAGTTATTTCTTTTTTTCCCTCAGAAGGTTGAAACTATGGAAAGTGAGGGAATTGTACATTATAATTTTCTATAATCGCTTAGACTAAGTGGCATTTCTTTGAATTCAACAACATACTATGTATCGTGGAATCCACAGGGATTTCAACAATACCCTCCTTATGACATCTATATGACCTCTTTGTCTTTTCTTCTGCTGAAAATGAAAGATGAGACAGAGATCTATTCATGGATTCAAATTCTAGTGGTTATTTAAATTTCAGTATTATCTACAAGTTGTATTAGTTTGATGTGTATCATGCTTATTACACAAGTAACAACACACTTTATGGGAAAAGGGATAGCATTCATTTGTCCCATGTTACTTTCCATTAAAGTAAGTAAAACGGGCCACGTTTAGGTCACTTAAAATAGCTTATTGTGCATGCTGTATTTTATCACTGACTTTTGTAACTGAAAAATATACAAAGTAAGTTCAGTATTAACATGCTATGCCTAGCAGTGATGCAATTGATAAATTAAAAATGATACGCTGCAATAGAGGGAGCCTTTTGACTGGTAAAAATATTTGGAATTTTGAAAGAACATTGTAAGTACTTGTGCAAAACATCCGCTATGATGATGCAGGCTGTCTAGTTATAAAATTTTCTGACAGGCCGGCTAAGATGTTGTCATTCCTTTTCCTCTGATCTCCCAGGATGCTTTTTTTGTGTGTGTGTGGACAGGGGAGCCAATTCTCAAACAAAGACTGAGTAGAGCCTGTAGCCTTAATTTTTATTTGCTGCTGAACTCAGAAATATTTCTCTACTGACACAAATCCTTGTAACATCTAGCAAATAAGGAAGACGTTAATAATGTAAATAACAGGGATACTAGAAGTAGGAGCTTTGCTTATAGCATAAATGTGGCCACTTTTTCATAGCTGGGAAGGCTTGGGTGGTTGAAAATTTGCTGAGATTTAATGGCATTCAATTTGCCCCTTGACTCTCTCATTCCCCATAAAGGTAACTTACAAGTCTCATGCAGATCCCAGAAATGGGGGTTGGAAAGAAATGTCTGGAATTTGCAAATCAGGGAGGAGAAACACATTGAAGCTTGCAAGGAACTGAACTGCAGGCTTTGCAGTTACAAAACCTCTAACCAGTTTTGGTTACAACAGAAAGCCAAGCTGTTTTACCATGTTTTTAAATTAAGGAAAAAGTCAATAATGAAATATAGAAGCTTTCATGAAATGTAGTTTCTAAAGTAAAAAAAAATACACAACATAATGTTATCCTAAGGAGATTCCATAATGGAAAATGGAATTTCTGCAAATTTAGTACATTTGCAAAAAAAGACAAAGTGATCACAAGCAGCATTGACCAAAGTCATGATAGATGGTGAAGGTCAATATTTATGAGCTTCAACTGCTAACAATTATAACATTAATAAACAGCATTAATAAACAAATTAAATAAATGAAACATGTATATGGAGTGTCTGTTAAACTAAGACAGTGGGAGCACATAATAGAATTATACTGAAAATTCTAGAATGCATTCGAACAATCTACTAAATCCATTGTATAAAATTAAGGGGCAAGCATGCCTCTCATCCTGCAAAGGCAATAATACCATGTCCATACTCATGTTAATTAAAAGCAATCTTATCATGTATCCCAGTTTGTTGTGTTTTTTTGCCCGGTGTGGCCATCTTGGCTGATTTACGAGAAATCCGCAAACCAGAAAAGACTGTCTAGTTATAAAATAATTGATAATAATAATTGATTAATGCTTTCCTGTGGGATGTTTTTTCAATTCTTCCATGTAGCCTAGGGTATGCTAGCATATGTTCACCGTCTCCCATCCAAGTCTTAATCCGGTCCAATGCTTTTTTTTTTAAACATTAGCAAATGCTGTCAAGTTGCAATCACCTACTGTGAACCCTTCCAACTTGAACTGTAAGGTTTTTTGTATTATTTTTGTAAGTTTTATATTATTTATACAATTGTAACTAGAGAAATTTAAAATATATTAATCATATTAAAATTCAGATAGTTATAGTAGTTTGCTGTAGTAGTTAAAGACATGAGGATTGAGACCATTTTAGTCATGCCCAAGATAAAAATCCAACTGGGTGACTTTGGGTCAGTCACTCCCTCTCAGCTCTAGAAAAAAGGTAATCAAGCAATCAAAATAGAGCTGGAAGGAACTTTGAGGTCTTCTAGTCCAACCCCCTCCTCAAGCAGGAGAACCTATACCCAGGGGTGGAATTCTACCAGTTTGGACCAGTTCTATAGAACCGGTTGTTACGATTCTGTGTAGTTTGGAGAACCGGCAAATCATGCCACTGACTGGCCCCCTCCCCACCCCATCAGATTTCTGTTTTCTCGCTTATCTAAATTGCTGTTGTACTGCTTTGCCTTCACCCAGAGGTGGGTGGTATACAGGGGAGGGGGGGTGGGGGAGATGTGGCCTGAGAGAAGAGCCGTACTTAGGACTGAAGCTTCTATTTTTCAGTGCAGACTCAGGCAGCAGATTGCAGAAGGTAGATCTGTGAGTGAATCTATGATTCTGCAAGCAACTCAATCTGTCTTATTTTGGGTAAAAGTTGCATATATGTATGTATGTATGTATGTATGTATGTATATATGTATGTATAAAATATATATTTACATATTTACAATATTTACGTACAAGCCACACCCATCCAGTCACATAACCAAGCCACACCCACAAATTAGGCCATGCCCACAGAACCGGTTAAGAAATTTGAATCTCACCCCTGCCTATACCCGTGTTGGCGAACCTGTGGCACACGTGCTGGAAGTGGCACGCAGAGCCACTTCTGCTGGCATGTGAGAGGTCGCCCGGAAGAGCTCCACTGCGCATGCACAGAGGCATGCAGCGTGAGATGCATGCGCATGCACAGATGTGTGTGGTGCAGGTCGCACGTGCATGCGCAGGGGGCAGGGGGAGTCGTGCATTCATTGCATCATGGATGCAGCCATGTGAGCGCCCGCGCACTTTTGGCATGCAACTTGGAAAAGGTTTGCCATCACGGCCCTATACTATTTCAGACAAGTGACTGTCCAGTCTCTTCTTAAAAACCTCCAATGATGAAGCACCTACAACTTCTAATGGCAAGCAGTTCACCAATTAACTGTCCTCAATTTATCCTCAAGTAATGACAAACAACTTCTGAAAAATGTTCTAACAAAAATCATGAGCATGTCGATATAGTCATCAAGAGTGAAGAATGATTGAAGGCACACAAAAACCAAAACCAAAGAACTTGACATTAATATCTAATAGACATTATCATAACATAATGTCTTTTTTGTGGTGATGATCCATAAATCTCTCTTTTATCTTATTATATAACCTACACATTAACTCCTGAGTTTCCTCAGATTAGAAAAGTATTTTAGGAGAAAAAACTCAGTCATTACTTTATTTACTATTTACTAAGTAAATAAATAAACATCACAAATATTTTAACAGAGGAAAAGTTATGTAGAAAATTCACATGAATCTTCCTCAGACTGGTACCTACCTGAAATAGGATGTCATCTCCTGAAGCTGTTTTAAATTCATCTTGTTTTCCAATTATTTTCTGAAGCTAAAACAGAAAAGTATGTATTTATTATCTTTTATTTTTCTGAATTTGGGCAGGACATTCCCACAGTATACACAGAATATTTAATGAGGTTACAAAGACTGAGGCCTCTTTTATTTATTATGAAAGTCTCTTATGTAGAAAATATTCTGTATAAGAACACTAAATGAGCATAGAATATATAAATTATACATGAATTACAAAGTAAATGTAAGGTGCAATAGGAAGCCCAAGTATAGAACTATTACAATGATGGAAAGAGAGGGGCAGGAAGAAATATTTTATTCTAGGTTTTTCTATGATTGAATATGGTCACAAGAAAAACTGCTCGCTCATTGAAATTAATTCTTTAAACCCACAAAAGTTAGCTTTACATTTGTCATTTCCAAAGATTATAGATTCAAGCTTTGTTCTGAATAATCCCTGTTTGTGCTTTTCCCAGCTTTGATTATCCTCCTTAATCCAGGGAACCAATCCATAGTCCACCGTTTGGGAAGGTCTCGATTCTTTGGAGATGTGGGAACATGTGTATTAGGCATATGATGGAAAGAACTAGTTGCACAATGACTTGATTACAAATGTATTAAAATACACATGGAAAAGTATCTATCATAAGTTTAAGCAGGGCAGCATAGCTTCAGAGAAAAATAAAATCAGATAAATGCTTTTATATACCATTGATTTAAGAGGTTTATCTCAAAGTTAAATGAGAGCTTACATAGAGAGGGCAAGAATTCTCCAGTTCAATTTTTTTCTTCAGTTTACTAAGCAGCCTTATGAAGTCTAATTTCTCTTTTGCTTATTCTTCCAGTCTGAAGTATAGGGCAATGCTATCAATTTGACTAGGAAAATTAACTGGCAAGCCGCATTCCTGTGCATGCAGGAAATATTATTCTACCCCTGCCATTTATAGATAAAGATTCTCAGGCAGTAGCAGTGGGAAAGGCCTTCAGTAGATACCATGGACATCAACTCTAAATTAAAACTGTCACTACTGAATAAAAATGATCTCACTTTGTAGACTGCAGCTTTTAAAAACTTATTGAAATAGTACATTTTAAACATTCTGAATAATCAAAACACCGATACGTTTGATACAAAGCTGTGTTTTCTTTGATACAGAATGATTAAATAATCATGACTGTCTATAAAATACAAACATGTTTTAGATTCTGAAGTTTTCTATCAAAAGCTGCATTTGTTTATTACTTTAAATCCCAAAGTAATCATCCAGCAGACTCCTGGCAGGAACTTATTTTTTTTGTAAAACATTTCTCATCATGAGTCCGAAAAGAAACAGAGTACAGTATAGTACAGTTAAGCCCTCCCTACCTTTCAAAGATGTTAACACCGGTCCTCAAATTGGTAGCAAAAATAAAAGAACATAAAATTTATTATTTATGACAAAGGCAAGGTTAGAACCAGAAAGTGCAGGATTTAAAGGTGCTTAGAAGTGCTTATGCTTATCATTGTGAGAGAGGGAACATATAACCTTCTTTCTATATTATAAAAATGATCTCTCCTTATATCTCCCACGGGTAGTTCTTGACTTACGGCTGTTTATCTAACAATAGTTTGAAGGTCCAACCCTTGGAAGAAGTGTTTTATGGCCTGTGCCTACACATATGACTGTTGCATAGCCCCCATGGTTTTTTGATTGCAATTTGGACACTTGGCAACTGGATTGCATTTACAAATGGCTGCAATGTCCTGTAAGTCGTATAATTGCAATTTGCAATATTTTCTTACGACGTCCAGTAGAAGACGTCTATTGGGAAAACTGGATCCACTTAACGATAATGTGATTCACTCAATGACCACAGTAAAAATGGTTGTAAAATTGGTCCACATGGTGACTCAACTTACAACTGCAGCAACTTATGGCTGCAATTCTGGTCCCAATTGTGGTCATAAATTGAGGACTACCTGTACGTTAAACCTTAAAGTGTACCTCACATCCAATGTTAAAAGAAAGTCTGACAAATTAGGTTGGAAAAAGCAGCATTTTCCTAAATTTGTTTTTATTATTCAGCTTTTTAGTCACTTCCATCTCTGCTGTGATCTGATAGATATCATATTGCCTGTTAGTGAAGTCTTCTTTTGAATTCTTGTGAGATCACGGTTATGTTGTAGTACCTAGTGCTTTATTCATTTATCACATTTATATCCTGCAGCAATTCAAATCAATTTTCACCAGTTTGCATGACAAACTTAAACTCAGACAAATTTAAAACATCCATTGTAAAAATTAAAACGTTGGCTTGTATCAGAGTCTTTCTGATTGTTTTCAATTTTTCCAAGTGTCGGAGTCTCATTCTTTACATTATATGTCTAAAATGTTTAAGTTTTAGGTTCATTATTAGTTCTTCTGGTGAAATCTGGTTTGTTTCATCTAATATCGAAATACTTGTTCTTCTTGCTATGCAAGTTATTTTTTCCAAGTTTTTTTTCCAAGTTTTTCCCCCCAAACTTTTCTGATGATCCTGCTTTCTTATCCATATGATACAACTGGGAAAACAATGCCCCTGGCAATATATAGCTTTGCTATCAGTGAGATGTCTCTGTACTTCGTCTAGATCTATCACAACCCTTCTCCCAAAGAGTAAATGCCTTTTTATTTCATGGCTACAGTTACTATCATTATGAGTTTCTGAATTAGGAAGATAAAGTCTGTTATTACTTCAGCTTTTCCCCCACTTGTTTACAGTAGGTAGGCAATGACTGTTGATAGCATCTTAGTTTTCTTTTCTAAATACCGAGCAGTAAATTGGCTTTGGCCCCTTTTGGTCACCTTCACCAGGAGACTTCTTAAGTCTCCCTCATTTCTAATCATCTGGTTTTTCCTAGCAATTTTAATTCCAATGGTTTATTTCTTCTACGTCAGCATTTGTCATGATATACAATGTTAAATAAACAAGATGGCATACAACTCCGATACATCTGTTTTCTAATATGAAGCATTTAGTTAACCTATATTCTATTCAAATGGATACACATCATATAAATTCAACAGGCAAAGTTACTTGGCACGCTCATACTTTCAAGGGCTTTCCATAATTGTCTTTCAGACAGTTCTAAATCTTGTCTCTTTCATTAACCATAGGATGTTAGCTATGTCTCACTAGGACAATCCCGTCCTACTGGTTCCAGCAGAGGTGGTCTACTTTAGATCCCATCGGTCAAAGAGCTGACTATCATGATGCAGAAGAGCCTTCTCTGTTGAAGCACCTGTCCTTTGGAATATCTTATCCTCTAAAGTAAGGGTGTCAAACTCGATTTCATTGAGGACCACAGTAGGGTTATGTTTGACCTCGGGGTGCTGGAGTGGCCATGGCCGGTCAGGGGTGCCTGTGGTGGCTCAAGCACTCCGCCAGAGAAAATGGGCTCCTGAGCTCCGTTTTCAACTGTAACGGCCTCCTGCAATCCTCTGCCAGCAAAAACGGACCTCGGGAGGAGTGTATGCAGTCGTCCTGAGATCTGTTTTCACTGGCAGAGGCATCATGGACCAGTCCTTCACTGTTTCCAGGCCAGTTCCGCAGGTCAGATCTAAGCACCCCGCGGGCCGGATCTGGCCCGCCGACCTTGAATTTGACACCCCTGCTCTAAAGTAAAATCTGTCCCCACCATCTTATTCTTCCACAAGAGCAAAAAGACCTGGCTCTGCTGATTGGCCTGGGGACCATGATGGAGATGGCTACTAAATTTATGGCAGACTTCACCCCCTCCCCACTCTCTGCTCTCCACCCATCCATGTTTTTGCTTATCATACTGATGTATTGTTCTCATTGTGTTCCTTTGTCATTGTTTATTTTATTGTTCTAGTATTTCACTTCTGTTCTGTTTATACTCCTTTAATTTTTCTTCCTTTTTATTATTGTAAGCCCCATGGTGAGATAGGAGGCAAGTAAATGTAACAAACAAAAAACCCCAAACAATTGTGATCATAGGTATGTGATCTTTTGAACCCTACGTATACTTTTGGCAGTACTCTTTCCATGTATTGTTGAAATCCAGACTGGAAAATCCAGAGCATTATCTTACTTAGATGAGCACAAACTGAAATAACAGTTTTGCCTCCAAATGTAATACTAAACACTGCATATCAACAATAAACAAAAATAGAAGGGCATGTTTGACATACATTTATTATCACTTCAGTAAAAATTTATTCTGGCTTATATTTTTAAGATAATTGGAACTCCAAAAGCAGAGGAAGAAATGCTTACTGGCTATATGGCTCTGATGCCCTTCAAACAGCTTGGATTCAAATCCCAGCTGCAAAGGGTAATTGATCAATTGTTTAAAACCATACCTTAAAGAATTCTTTTTTCTCTACTTGTTCATTGCCATCTGCATCCAACATTTTAAAAGCAATATGAAATCCAGTCTGTGGTTCTATAATAAATAATAGATGTGTTAAAAAAAACTTTACATGCAAGTGATTTACATATAAGAAAATTGTGTAGTGTAATAGTTAAGATACTGAACTTGGGACTGCAAGATCCTTGTTCAAGGCTATCCTAAACCATGGAAATTCAATGGGTGACTTGGGATCATTCACACACTCTCATACCAACCTACTCTCAGAGATTGTTTTTGTGAGGGAAATTGGATGCAGGAGTTTATGGATGCAATCTCAAGCTCCTGGAATAAAGATGGGGTATAAATTTATCACATAAACAGATGGATGTGAAGCCATTTTTTAAACAATTTCTAGATTTCCTAGCAGAGAGTATTGAGTATCTGCAAAACTAAGTACCACAAAATGAAAGATTTACCCAATTTAATTGCTATATTTAAGAATACACATTACAAATTCTATAATAATATGGGAATGGCCTAAATTCGAGTTTGTGTTACTAAAAAGAAGCCCCGCAAATCAAAGTTTGTAGAATCAAGGTGGCTAGTTGGGTGTCCTCTTCCACCTTGCCCTTGTGGTATTCTGGGGTCGCCGTTACAGCCTGCTGCACCTTTCCAGACTTCTCCAGAATATTCCGGGCGTCCTCATCAGTTTCCCCCTCCCAGAGGACCCTGCCTTCCAATAGAATGAAACAATAGAGAATGTTTCAACTGAGCCAATGTGATAGCAAAACCAATTAAAAGGGAAAGACATCCCAACTATTTAAGTGACCGCATTAAGATCCTCTAAGAATACACAAAGAATGTCAGGAAAATGAAATGTTCATTTAAGCTTTTATACACACACATACAAACTTACATACATAGGCATACATACATTTCTAGAATTATAAATTACAGCGGAGCCTACTAAGTTTAAAATTTTTAGTTAAAAATTTTAACTATAATCCTTACAATTCTTAGTACATTCATGAATATCAATAAATATTTCACAAACAGGGTATCTACAGTCTATTGCTTAGGCCTTAGGGCAAGAAGCTGTACTCATTTAAGAATGGCCACTGAATTTTATTAAGTCAACATTTTGAGTCAGTAACACTGTATAGGGGGCCTATTAGTTTATTGGAGAATACAGCAAAATGATAAAGCAATGAAACAAACCATATGTTGCAACAGGTTGATAAGGAGGCAGCCCCACAGAAGGCATAGGAGCTAAAGCAGTTCGTGCAGCTCACCAGATGACATTCTTATCTGATATGAGGCAGCTTTAATGGTATGTATTTATAAAATATGGGAGGTTCAAAGAAAAGACCCACACACTTCCATTTAATTATGCAGACAATATTTTTAGGATAAGAGTATCAGGTATTCGCATTGGCTGTTAACAGAAACTATACTTTGGTGTTGACCATAAAAATAACATTTAACTTTATCAAAATAATAACAGCCCGTATTTTTTCTTCAAATCACCATGGGAGGCGGATGCCAAGACAGGCAAACCCTACCAAAAACTATTCAACAGAGAGGTGAATCTTTAGGACTCTAAATAAACTTAATCCTTCTTTTTTCCTCAATTGACTTGGAGATGCTGCTGGCAATTCTGAAAATTATAGTTCTGAGCCATTTGGAAGGAAGCTGGTGCTTACTGTCTTCCATCTGTTCCCAAGATCTGGGAAGGTGCTAACAGGTGGATTGGAAAATTATGTATTTGAACACTGACATCTTTAAACACATTTTATCCCACTCTCTCCAGACTTGGGAAGGTCTTTTCAAGGAACAGAAAAGAGGCAGAAAGGGGCCACGCAGAGACACAAGTTGATATTTAATCCAACCACCAAGGGCTTGCTTAATAGGAAAATGGAATAAGGACTCCAGTATGCATTGTTCCCCAAAGAGGAATTTCACCATCTAGAAATGATAATTGATTCCATAGATTTTCTTTGTATACCCTTACAAGACAGCAGTGTTAAACACTGTTTTTGTAAAAATTGTGTTAGTGTACCAGTACTACATTATGTTGGCTTGACTTGGTAATAATTAGCCATGCCTAAGTTGCACGTATTGATTGACTGATTGATTGATTGATTGATTGATTGCATTTCTAGACCACCCATCTTCCTCAAGAGATTATTGCAACAAGGACCTACTCTTGAAGTGCACCCAGAAGCTTCTTTCAGTATAAAGTATGATAGAGAGGACAGACCTCAAGAACTTATATTTCTATTAAAAAACCTTTTCTGGGAGCAATTTAAGATTTTGACTTTTAAAGCACTGAACAACTTGAGGCCTAGATATCTCAGGATTCCATTACAATATGAACTTGCCCAGACATTACAATAAGGTAAGACAAGCTTAAGATGCCGTTATTTTCAAAGGACCTGTAGAAAGAGGTTTTCTATAATTCTCAGTGTGCATGTGACCAATTATTATTCTAAATTCATATATTTATCAGCTGAGTATTGAACTGGATCATACAACTAAAAAGGAGCTAACAATAGTGATTTGTTGTTGTTGGACAATGTTCCTCCAAACCTTCCTGTCCTCTACCATCTTCTGGAATCCATTTAAGCTCACGCCTACTGCTTCAGTGACTCCATCCAGCCACCTCATTCTCTATCATCCCGTTCTTCTATTGACCTCAATCTTTTCCAGAATTATGCTCTTCTCACTGGAGAACAATAGTGATTAACATTTATTTAAATTGCAAAGTACAGTCACCATCAAAATACTTACTTGTGAGTATTGTGAGCAAAAAGAGGTACTCTGTGTAGGAAATCAATCCTGAAATACAAGATTGAAAGATTAGTTTGGTAGTCCTCAGTCAGCACACTGATGTGCTTTGTTTATAGCAGGGGTCACCAACCTTTTGGATCTCAGGAACCACCAAACTCATAATTTTAAAACCCACGGACCACTAATATGAATCCAGCGTGCCGCTCGCTGAAGCACCTGGACTTCCACTGATGGGATGGGGTCCTTCAGGCACTTAGCTTGGCTGCCTGTTTCTGCAAACTTAAATACTCAATCATTTGGACACGTTTCCCACAGAAAACAAAACACTGGAATCTCTCATCTCTCTTTCTCTCTCTCTCTCTCTTTCCCTCCCCTGCTCTTCCTCTTTCTCTCTTTCCCTCCTTCCCCCCTTTCTCCTTCTTTCTCTTCCCCCCATTCTCCTTTCTCCTTCTTTTTCTTTCTTTCCCTCCCACTTTCTCCCTTTCTTCCTTTTCCCCTCTTTATCTGTCCCTCTCTTTCCCTCCCTCTTCTTTCTCCCTTTCTTTTTCTTTTTCCCTCCCCCTCCCCCTTTCTTTCTCCCTCTTTCTCTTTCTCTCTCTCTCTTTCCCTCCCCCATCTCTTTCTCCCTTTCTCCCTCTTTTTCTCTCTCTCTCTCTTCCCCCCCCCCCGTCCCCGGAGGTGGGGATGAGGGGAAAGGAACCTCTGAAGTGGTGCTGTGTGGTGAGAATCTGATGTTTGAAGGCTGACGAGCCATGTGCTGAAGGCTGGTGGGGAGATGGGGCAACAGGGATGATACCGGCGGCGGATGGACTGATACGTGGCATTGGAGTCCTTCCCAGATGTTCCCTGGCTTGCGAGGGGGTGGGGATGAGGGGAAAGGAACCTCTGAATTGGTGTTACCTCCTGCCTCCGTGCATCAAGGAGGTTGAACAGCTGCCAGTAATGCCCTCAGGGGAAAATGTTGCAAGGGGGAGGCTCTATCCCCTCCCCTCTGGAGCATCTCTTCCTCACACGCAAAGTGCTCACCACCCCTCCGGCACCTGTCAAGCCTCCTCCTTCCTGCTGAGCGTGTGAGTGCTTCTAGCGAGGAGGAAAAGGGGGTCGAGCCTCCTTCTCGCAACATCTTCCCCTGAGGGCATCACTAGTAGCCGCTTCCTTTGGCTCACGAAGTCGCTCTTCTCGCTCTTGCTCTTTTAATGACAATTCCACAATCCCTTTATTATGGCAGCAGCCATGATACAGGTTTGCTAGGGAGACTGCAGGATTGCCCCACCTCCCCACCGGTTATCTGGTCTTCAGCACATGGCTTGTTGGCTTCGGGACATCAGATTCCCACCAACCAGCAACAGTTCAGAGGTTTCTTCCCCCAACCCCCACCTTCTCGCTGGCTAGGGAACACCCAGGAAGGGCTCCAATGCCGTGATCTCCCACGTACTATCCTCCCTCCCCGCGCGCATCAGTCCATCCGCTGCCAGTCTGTTGCAGACACAGGTGCACTGCAGCCCACTAACATTTTCTCATAGACCACCAGTGGGCTGCGGCCCACTGGTTGGTGACCACTGGTTTATAGCACTCCTTGTACAATTAGATTTTTATAAAAGTTCTTTAGTTTAATGCTCTTTACCTATTGAAAAAAGCAATATCAATTAGTTTTCTGGGAAATCAAATTTTCAAGCCCTATTCTACTGCTGTACAATTCCTATCGTACTGATGTCTTATTAAAAGCCTTGGTTTATTTGGAATTAATAGAAAGTCTCTTCTAAATCTTTGAGTTTTTACAGAAAATATTCAGTGTTTATACAAAGAATGAATAAATTAAGTGTGCTTTGTCATATTTAGTACTTGGGAGGAAACCTTCTCTAATGTTGCTCTGAAGGATCAAAGTATTTCATCCTTTGGCTGTCTTCGAAATGTGAAGACCAGATTTTCTTTAAGTCTCAGGGGGAACAGAGCAACACAAAGCTGGTAAATTGCTAGATTGCACTGATAGAACTGCTGGGCATAGAGCCAAAACAGGCTCTAAAAAAAATTTAAAACCTGAACACATCCTTTCTACAAGGTGAAAGTGTCTTTTCTTTCCCCTTTTGAAGGAAAATTCCAACATTTCCTTTGAAAGGCCTACTGAAGAGCCTGAACAAACACAAGATGCAATTGTCAAAATACCAACATGCCAGCTAAAGATAGAGAAGTATATAAAGTGTATGGGTTAAAGAAAAGAATTTGAAGCATCCTTCCAGTAAGAACTTTTAGAATTTTTTAAAAAGATATTTTATAAATAACACACACACACAGACACAGACACACACACACACAAAGACAAGCTACATTTAACATGCAAACAAAAAAAAAATCACCTCATCCTACATAATGGAAGAAATGTTGAAAGCAAATGTTTGAACTCTACCATCTACTGGCAAGTTATTTCTGTGATTTACATTTAACTGATAGACAAGGAGATTCCCTCACCTCGCCAACACATAGGATCCTCACATTAAATAGTTCCTATGAATAGATTCTGCTAGTGAGAGTTCATAACTGATGTAAAATAAGTATTGTTATGTTAATTCAAGGATGCATAAAACTTATATCCATGAAGTCAGAAAGATAAAAGGATAAATATTAAGAGTTTTACTTAACAACATACTGTGAGTTAAATTGCTTTCTAGGGCTATGCAGTATTTTTTTGTATTCTGTTTCAAAAAAGGGCTTCAGAGCTAGGAGGAATGTATAAAGCAGCTATATCTACATCCAACATTGTTAGCTACCATAGAGTATCTGCTGCAGCCATGGAAGAGATGCAGCTACTTCAGCAAATAATTGATAGGTGTTGCACTTGTATTTGCAAACAGTCAAATCTAAACCACTGCATTGCTTTTACTATTTTTTTCCCAGCATACTCATCTGTCAATGATTTCCCCGCTGCATTAGTTTATACTTTTGTGGGTAGTGAGGTAGCCTAGAGGTGGAGCTCTTGCCTCACAATCAGGAAGTTGTGAGTTTGATCCTAGGTAGAGGCAGATTTTTCTTTCTCTGGGCATGATGAGAATATACAGGTGAAACTCAAAAAATTAGAATATCGTGCAAAAGTTCATTTATTTCAATAATGCAACTTAAAAGGTGAAACTAATATATGAGAAAACTCATTACATGCAAAGCAAGATAGTTCAAGCCATGATTTGTCATAATTGTGATGATTATGGCTTACAGCTCATGAAAACCCCAAATCCACAATCTCAGAAAATTCGAATATTACATGCAAGCAATAAAACAAGGATTGTACATAGAACAATATCGGACTTCTGAAAAGTATAAGCATGCATATGTACTCAGTACTTGGTTCGGGTCCCTTTTGCAGCAATTACTGCCTCAATGCGGCATGGCATGGAAGCTATCAGCCTGTGGCACTGCTGAGGTGTTATGGAAGACCAGGATGCTTCAATAGCAGCCTTCAGCTCTTCTGCATGGTTCGGTCTCATGTCTCTCATCTTTCTCTTGGCAATGCCCCATAGATTCTCTATGGGGTTCAGGTCAGGAGAGTTTGCTGGCTAATCAAGCACAGTAATCCCACGGTCATTGAACCAGGTTTTGATGCTTTTGGCAGTGTGAGCAGGTGCCAAGTCCTGCTGGAAAATGAAGTCAGCATCCCCATAAAGCTTGTCTGTGGAAGGAAGCATGAAGTACTTCAAAATCTCCTGGTAGATGGCTGCGTCGACCCTGGACTTAATGAAGCACAGTGGACCAACACCAGCAGATGACATGGCTCCCCAAATCAGCACACACTGTGGAAACTTCACACTGGACTTCAAGCATCTTGCAGTGTGTGCCTCTCCATTCTTCCTCCAGACTCTGGGTCCTTGGTTTCCAAATGAGATGCAAAAGTTGCTCTCATCAGAAAAGAGGATTTTGGACCACTGAGCTACAGACCTGTTCTGTTTTTCTTTAGCCCAGGTAAGATGTTTTTGATGTTGTTTGCTGTTTAGGAGTGGCTTGAAAAGAGGAATACGACATTTGAAGTCCATGTCCAGGATCTGTCTGTGTGTGGTGGCTCTTGATGCACTGACTCCAGCCTCAGTCCACTCCTTGTGAAAGTCCCCAACACTTTTGAATGGCCTTTTCCTGACAATCCTCTCCAGGCTGCAGTCATCCCTGCTGCTTGTGCACCTTTTTCTTCCACACTTTTCCCTTCCACATAACTTTCTATTAATGTGCTTTGATACAGCACTTTGCGAACATCCAACTTCTTTTGCAATTACCTTTTGAGGCTTTCCCTCCTTATGGAGGGCGCCAATGATGGTTTTCTGCACAACTGTCAGGTCAGCAGTCTTTCCCATTATTGTGATTCCTACTGAACCAGACTGAGAGACCATTTAAAGGCTCAGGAACCCTTTGCAGGTGTTATGGCTTCATTAGCTGATTAGAGTGGGACACTTTGAGCCTAGAATATTGAATCTGTTCACAATATTCTAATTTTCTGAGATTGTGGATTTGGGGTTTTCATGAACTGTAAGTCATAATCATCTCAATTATGACAAATCACGGCTTGAACTATCTAGCTTTGCATGTAATGAGTTTTCTCATATATTAGTTTCACCTTTTAAGTTGCATTACTGAAATAAATGAACTTTTGTACGATATTCTAATTTTTCGAGTTTCACCACAAAACAGGCAATATGCAATAAACTTACGACTTTATTAGAGAGTCCCTTCCATTCTGAATTCAACAAAATATAGGTAAAGTAGCTAAACCAATAAAAATACTATTTTCTGAATAAGAGTCTTAATTAGCTACATCATATTTTACATTTTTACTGGCTGTGGTTAATCATATTAGGGTAAATATCTACCTGCTTAGTTGAAAGCATTTTGGAAAAGTATGGAATTAATGCCATAACACCCTATCCGTTTTTACATAGCCATGCAACAGGCGTCATACAGAGCTTTATCCAATGTAAAATTAAATTCATTTTTGAATGTGTTTTATTTCTAAATTAGGCAATACAATTCATTAAACTATTATGCAATGCAAGAAAAGAAAAAAGAGTACATGCATATATTTTTTTTTATCGTTAAAACAAAAAAACGCACTTTCAGTACTAAAATGCATGAATATACTTTAATACTCTCTATTTTTAAAATAAAGGAGTGGAGCGGTGGCTCAGTGGTTAAGATGCTGGGCTTGGCAGCTAGCTTGAAAGCCTATAAATGCAAGTAAATAAATAGGTACCACTTTGGCAGGAAGGTAATAGCGCTCCATGATGTCATGCTGGCCACATGACCTTGTAAATGTTTTCAGACAGTTCTGGTTCAATGGCATTAAAACGCAGATGAGCACTATGCCCTATAGCCGGCAATGACTAGTGGAGTAAAATCTGCAGGGACTCCCTTACTTTTTAAAAAAATAAAATAAAAGGGACCTTAACATAATCATAAAAAATTAATGTAGAATAAGAAAATGGGAAACTAAAAATATTTCACCAGGAGGCACACTGTAAATTTGAGAAGGTTCATTTGCTCAGAAAAGACGTCAAGGAAAAAAGCAATAAACAATGAATTTAATACCTGTTCTTATAGTCTTTAAATGAAAATAAAAATAACAATTGTTTTGTGATGGTCAAAATAAAAATTATTCAAAAAATGACAGAAATCTCTAAAACTGTGTGGTTATTTTTTCAGATTTGGGGATCCCATGATAATGAGAAGCCTCTAAGAAGGTTGCGACGTATATGGAATTCTCCTGAAATGTTGACTGATTAGGTGCCATCAAGTCAGTGCCTACTCTTAGCAACCGCATGGATTTGTCTCAAAGAAATTAGAGTACTGGGCTATGACAACAGCCCTGAGAAAGAGGAGGAAGAGCTGCAGCCAAAGCAACAGTCAGGTAAGAGAATTCTCAGCCCCAAACAGGAACTTGAGAAAACATCTCCGACCTGAGCCTAGTATTCATGCCTTTGGTGTTCCAGTTTGGTTAATTTCAAAGGGTTTACAATACTGATTTAGGAAGCCTAAAAAATCCCAATGTTTTATTTGTACTGTCAAACTAAGTTGTAGAATTGTTATTATCTATATACTAGTTTCCCTGAACCAAAGGCAAGCTGGCTGAGGAATTCTGGGAGTTGAAGTCCACAAGTCTTAAAGTTGCCAAGGTTGGACACCCCTGCTATAGATATTCTGAGATATGAAGTACCTACAAGAATGACTTATTTCCTACATACATTTTCATGCATTCCAGGTTGAATCAAAATTCATTCCCTCTGATTCTCATTCTCTCTCTCTCTCTCTCTCTCTCTCTCTCCCTCCCTCTCCCACCCTCTTCTCTCTCTCATACACACACATCTTTTTCGTATCTGTGTTTCTGGAGCTAAAATAGAGTTTGAAATAGCTCCAACAAAATATTTAATGTAGCACCAAGCAAAAATTTTCATATATCAAAATCTCAGGAAAAAAGATTTTAATATTAATTACATCAATAATTCTAAACTGTTACCTCTGTCTCCAAGATCTCTAAAAAAGGTTGGTCCTGGTCTAGCTTTCGTAACATTTGCTAGGGTAGAATCTACTTCCTTTGAACAAACCAAATAAATGACAAGTTAGTTGTGAAAGCAAAATCCATTAAAGCAAGTAACAAAAAGAACAAAAGTTCTTTTGACAAACGGCATCAACTCTTTGCCTACCTTTTTTGTCAGTTTCTTGGCCAAAGTTTTACCTGTCCAAAAAAGAGAGAAAAAGAAAAAAAAGAAAAAAAACACACCAGTCAATCATCTGTAAGTCAAAGCTTTGTTGAGTTCTGCATACTGTGTTTTTAAAAGAGAAGTTGCAAGTGACATGAACAGAACATTACCAACAGCTTAGAAATATTTAAATGTTCATAATAGTTAGAAAAAAACTACTGTTCTAAAACGATAGGAACAATCTGTTTAAACGCTGCTACAATGCATAACAAATAGAATAAAATAAACTTTTAAAAAACTAATATACTTCCTATTCATTACATTTACATATGGGCATAAAACTGAAATCACAAAAAACAACCCTAATACAGCCAACATGTATCTTCCAGATCAAACGGACTACAATAATTTTAAAACCTATTACTATAAAAGACCACCACTAGAAACATTTAAGACTAAGACCAAGTGTGCGACAGGTGGCTATTACAGTTTTTCTTCTTCTTTATAGTTCTTAACTATCTCCCATGTGAATGTAGCGGAAATGAAATTGGTTTGAGTTCTGTCAGTGACTTTCTACTTCACAGTGATATGCTAATGAGTTATCCCTGTTACACATGAATCATGTGAGAAGCCCAAATAGAACTCCAGTTTTGTCCACATCCAAGAACTCACAAAACAATCATTAACATATTAAACCATAACTTCAATCTCTGGATACTTCTGGATAAATACATCTAGAGTTTTGTGATCACATCCTAACTGGCCTTCGTTAACCAACGTCTGGATAGCGTGCATGGTCATCATCTAGCAAGGAATTAGTAACATACTTGAAACTAAATTTGTTGAATGGCGTATCATGACATTGGGGTGTAGTCTACCATGACAAAGGATCACGCTTTTCACTCATTATATTTGATAATTTATAGATTATATGAATAACTCTATATTTTTCAGGTTTATAACTTTTTACACTATGTATTGTAAACTCATGAAGTGAATTAAAAACTTTTTGAAGGTCTATATACAGCATTAAAAAGTAATGGTAGTTTGGTTTCTTTTATTGTTCTGTCATAAGAATGAAAGAACAGAAATTATTACACCTTAGGTCAGGGATATTAAACAGGAGGCCCATGGGCTACATAGCCCAGAGTTGTTCTGCGGGGCCATCCAGATGGCGAGGGACCAGCCCGTGCTGCCCTGGCCCACCCCAGCTTCACCCACCCGGTTGGCTGGGCCGACCAGGCCACACCCACTCTGGCCCCCCAAGAACAAACAAAATCCTGATACAGCCCGTGACAGGATTGCGTTTGACACAGAGGTGGTATTCAGCAGGTTCTGACCAGTTCTGGAGAACTGGTAGCGGAAATTTTGAGTAGTTCAGAGAACCGGTAGCAGAAATTTTGAGTAGTTCGGAGAATCGAAATATACCTGTGACTGGCCCCACCCCCATCTATTCTCTGCCTCCCGAGTCCCAACTAATCAGTTGGGTCTTCTTTTGTTGCCCTGCACAAGAGAACGGAGCTGGAAAGCAGATTAGTAGGGTGGGGAGGGAATAAGGATTTTGTAGTATCCTTCCCCTGGAGTGGGGAGGGAATGGAGATTTTACAGTATCCTTTCCCTGCCACACCCACCAAGCCACCCCACAGAACCGGTGGTAAAAAAATTTGAATCCCACCACTGGTCTGACACCCCTGACTTAGGTACTTCAAATTGCCAATGGAGGTTGGTTCAGAAGATGGGTGCTTTTTAGCATCTTCCACCTTTTTAAACATCCATTTACATAGCACCAATCAGAAAAAAATCAGATCTTTTTTCAGGCAAAACATTATCTATAACTTTGCATGTATAAGAAACTGCCACCAGAATGAATTATTACATCAGTGCTCTCTGTCATAAAAACAATTTTTGGATAGTTTTAGAGCTAGATACCAAATGAATGTCACACATTTCTGTGCAATCTAAATTTTATAAATTCAAAGCTTTGTAACATATATTTTACTTAGGTATTAGTTATCTGTTAATATCAACATTCATAATGACATTCTGATGTTAGCATTTCAACAGCAATGAATTCAGCCCCATGTTTTCCTGCATACAATGCACTTACGTTATGCCTCTTTAGGAAGAAGAGACATATAACCTTTTGTTATTCAAAAGTCACTACTTTATCATTTGTGATGTTGTTGTAATGCAAAGGAAAAGAACAGCATTAATAATGACCCTTGGATAGGATTTTCCACAATTTGGAGTTGTCCTTTCCAATTGTTTAAGTAGAAAAGCAGAGCAAATGGCCAGTCCTAGCTTTGCTTCCTGTTTGGCTTGGAAGTTCCTGCTGTCACCATTTATCCTTCGAAGGGCAACTCACTTGACATCCATATCCCTTAATGTTTTTCTGGCTATTAAAAATAAAAAAAAACTGAAATGACTGCAATTGGACTATCTCCTGACTGTAATGTAAAGGCATGGTGATAAGGGGATTCAGCATTTCCTCGCCCTTTGGAGATAAATCAAACTTGGAGGTCACAAAATCAAATAATGTTATTAAAAATTAGGATAAAACATTAAAAAATTAAAGTATTAAAATGAGGACATTCATTAGGAAAGGAAATAATTACAAATTTTACATGAAAAAGGAAAATCCAAAAGAAAACCCAGTGCTCCAGACAGGCCACAAGATGGCACTGGTCTCCCCCCCAAAAAATTCTCTGCAAAATATAAGAATATTCTGAAGGGAAAAAAAAGTATCTTCATACAGTTAACCTTAAATATGCTGAAATCAAACATCCCAATACCGTAACTTACATTCAGAAAGATAAAAAAATGAAACTTAATGCAACAGAAAAACAAAAATGAATACCTGGGTAGGTAACAGATAACAGATAATCAGAGTTGGAAGGGACCTTGTAGGTCATCTAGTCCAACCCTCCGCCCAAGCGGGAGACCCTACACCATTTCTGACAAATGGCAGTCCAATCTCTTCTTGAAAGTCTCAAGTGATGGCGCTCCCACAACTTCCGAGGGCAAGGTATTTCACCCCTTTCCATAAATTTGGATCCTGCAATGAATTCTACATGGGGCTGCCCTTCTAGGACAGAAGTGGGAAGGGCGCTCCTAGTCCCTTCCCTTAAACATTTATCATCTAATGGGAACTAGGAAATGTGCCTTTTCCATAGCAGCCCCTACCCTACGGAACACTTTTTCCTCTGAAGTTCAGCAGGCCTCTACCCTCCTACCCATCCATAAAGCTTTGGACTTGAGCATGACTGACTGGGGAATTCTGGGAGTTGAAGTCCACCCATCTAAAAATTGTCAAGGCTGAGAAACATTGCATCAGAGGGTATTGGGCAAAGCGAAGCCCCATTTTTCTACAGATTTCTTTGTTTTTTAAAAAACTTCCTCTCTATCTAGCAAGACAAATTGCTGAGGTACCTGTGTATATGACCAAGACAAATTCAGTTGTGGGAGTATAAACAGAGAGTCTCTAGTCCACTGGTTGCATTCAGAATAATTCAGTTTGTCTCAGTTTTAAAGTGATACACAGATAAGAAGAAATTCTCCTTAATTTCTTTCGAGTTATATCAAAAAGAATCCTCTAATTTGGCAAATGGACAAATTGGCATTCATTCAGCAGCATCGTTTAAACTAAAAGAAAAACAGCACTTACGCTCTGATTTGTCAAACATAACTGAGAACAGGAAATCTCTTGGAGTCATGTAATATTCTCCTCCATATTCCAAAGAAGCAAATTTCATAAAACGTTGCTTTCGAATGGAAAGCTTTTCTGCCATCTCTTCATCCACAGCATCTTCCTTCAAAAAGACAGGAAAGGATACAGCAAGTACAAGTAAATTTATTCATGACTAAAATCACCAGTTATGACTCAGCAACAGAGCAAGACCTGAAACTATATCATTGCTGCATGCTGCAAAACAAATATTTATTTTAGACTAAGGCAATTGTCAAAAGGATCGTTGGCGTTTAAGGCACACATCTATTTGTAGGCATGCATTTTTTAAAAAAATTACTCGTGAATCTTACCCAAATTCATGAATAAGATGGAAATGATAAGGTGTGATTAATTCTAAATGTAATTTTACTTCATTAGATGGTGGCCAACGCTGTGTCATTAGGCAGAAAAGATAAAAAAGACAATAGAAATAATCAAAAGACTAGAACAACTTCAAATAAGACAAGATGCCCGAGATGCTGTTGTTGAGAAAAATTGTGTAAGTGATGAAGGGAACAGCAAAAGAAGGTAGCTGTCACAAGAATAAATGCTGCTGCTGTGTGTGTGTGTGAGAGAGGGGATGTTGAACAAACGTTGGTGCACAAATAAATGCTGCCTCTTGGAACGAAAGAATGCTGTTGCATGAATGAAATGCTGGGGCTGGGGGGGGGGGGGGCTTTTTGCCCCACAAGACAAGGTGCAGGGTGGGCATAGTTGGGAGGAGAGATAGGCAGGTGGTGGGAATTGGCTTGAGGCTATGAGGGACAAAGTCCAGAATGGTTTGCACTGAGTACTTGTTCAATGATCCACGATTCTTGATTAAAACTGCAATGAGGATGGACAGGATTGTGGTCTCTAAGTGACGCAGTCACAAGACATCTCATTACATGACTGCATGACTTGGCAATTAAAATTCCTGTCCCAACTGTGGTCGTAAATTGGAGATTACCTTGTACTCTTAGGAATTATTTTGGAAATACTAAACTGGGATCCACTTTCCTGTATCTTCAGTTTCTTTTCTTATGCCCTAAATTCTGGAATGACAGAGAAATAGGTCTTAACTTTCTTCTGTGAGAAACTACTTCACGTATTTTAAGAATGTTGTATTGTTCCTCACAGCCTTCTCTTCTCAAGGCTAAAATATCCATTCCCTTAATTCATCACTCCAGGAGTTAAGTTCCAATCTTCTGTTAACCTTCATTGCCCTTTTGTGAATTCATTCCAATGTGTCTGAATGTTTTAAAAATTCCACTGAAAAATAGAAACAATATTTAAGGTGGAGGTCTAACCAATGTGAAATAAAGTGGAACTATTCTTTTCAGTCATTTGAAAATATAATGCTATTGACGCATATAACTTTTTGGAATCACGTCACATTGCTGACTCATATTTGGCTTGTTAACAATTATAATTTAAGGAACCTTTTCACAAGCACTATTATGAAGCCAGGCTGGTTCATCTGAATTCATACTTTATTCATTACATATTCTTTTCTATGTGTTCTTTTTTTATCTTTTTAATCCTTCAATTCTTTCCTTCTTTATCACTTATTTGCCTTGCTTGAAAGTTAAGAGGTCTGCAAAAGGAGAGAGATAAAGGTAGCCAGAATAGGAACACTGCTTGTTGTCCATAAAGGAAAAGCAGCAAAAGACTACAGAAATATTATGACATACGTATCAAGATAGCCAGATTGAACATTACCGTTGTCTATGAAAATAAAGTTTCTGTTAAGTCAAGTTTCAACTCCTGTTGACTTCATAATGAAGTCAACTCCCTCCCATTTTATTTACTCATTTTATTATTTTATTTTATTTCTTTCCTTCCTTGGTTTCCTTTCCTCGAAATATATAAGGACCCAGCATTATACATGAATTCATAAATATACTATCAATTGTACATTCAAATCTTTACTCTATGATCCGTACCTCAGTTCTAATTAACCTTGAAACCACAGAGGAAAAACAGAGTCTGAAGTCACTTAAGCCCAGGTTGAGAGCTTGGTAGACACTGAATATCTTTTAAAATTCAATCAAAAGTAAGGAGGGTGTCCAGTGAAGAGCAATGCAAAATTACTCTGAGTTTAGACTGCACATCCAATTTCTATTCATGCTGATGAAAAATGAGTTTTACAAAACCAATGCTCTGTCGAACGACAGCATCTCTACAAAGATGAACGTGAAGAATGTACCTATGGGATTGCTTTCTGATCTAAAGTTCTGTGTCTGTCTGTCTGTCCATCCATCCCTCATCCATCCATCCATCCATCTCTGATCCATCTAGCAAACAGCACCAAGCAGTAGCTAGAGACAAATTGTAGAAGCAAAAGCAAAATGCCTTTTCATCCTGCCTTTACTCTTGCTCCGGGTGAATATGAATTTGTATGCGTTTACTGATTCCTTTAGCTTAAATTTCATGGACGTCTTAAATAGAATAGTGTACTCAGCGTTATTCTCTTTATGACTCAGGGGTTTTCTCTCCCTACATCATTAACAATGATGACTGAAGCAATGAAAGTGCTGGCACTCTCAAGGGATGCCCTTCAGCCATCAACCTAAGTGAATCATGACCGCAACTGAGTTTTTGTACTTGCTACAGAAAGAAGAGCTGGTGGCAAAATCATCATCATCACCACCACCACAAGGGATCTGGAAGCATTTTTCTATCAAATTTTATTGAAAGGCTTAAGCTAGTGAGGTGAATAGCTTATGCCTTTCAACAAATGTGCTAATAAAATTTTCTATCAGATTCCTTTTGAGTCTTTGCCTTTGGTGGAGGAGTTGAATAAAGCCAGCTGAGCTATAAGTGCAGTCCAATACGTGATCACCTTTTCAAATATTTCCTGCATATCTTAAGAACATTTTCAAATTTTACATTCTAAGAACAAACAATTATAGAATACTAGTAGTTCAACCACAAGTTCCTTTACTTTAGTCTAACTAAATTCAATAGGACTTATTTCCAGTTAAATATAAATACAATTATGGTCTAAAGAAGCAAACCTGATACTTTCAAGATATGTTACATTACAATTTCAAAATTCCCAGCCAAGCTATTGATTATGATAGCAAAAAAAATACAGTCCAAACACTGTGGAAAGTTGATCTAATATTAATCACCAGAAATACAAGCAATTTATTTTGAAAAATGAGTCAGAAGCATGGCTTTCAACTAGACTGAAAATATCAAACCTTTTGACTATTGGTATATGTACACTTATACAACTATCCAAGAAAAGATACTGCATTTGGGATTTCTATAAGGAACATTAGCTGTCATAACTTTCCTTACTTTTAAAATGGTTTTGCCAGAAACTGACATTTACTTCCACTTTCTGGTAAATAAGGCACATAGCGAACAATAGATTTGCCTAATGATTGATGCAAAATAATAATGCAAATAATGCAAAATCTCACTCTTAATCAACACTGACTGGAATTGGCCTCCAAGAAGGGGAGGAAAACAGTACCCTTGCAACCCCTCTCTGAAACTAATCCAGAACAATACCATGAATAATGGCATCAAAAGCTGCCAAAAGGGCAACTAAAATTAGAATAGATGCACTACCTCACTCTACTCCCACCAGAAGTGATCCAAAAATGTGAGGAATGCCATATCTGGGCTAGAACTGAAAGGGGTCTAGATAATCCGCTTCATCCAGGTATTAAGTATTAAAAACAGATAAACTAGAACACAGACGTTGATGTTTCACAAGTGATAGATCTAAGAGAAAAACTGCAATGACAAATAAAGCAAAGTTTATGTTACACTGATTTGAATAACCCAATTCTTTAAAAAAAAATCAGAATTAATGATGCATTTTATTTCACTGAGCCCATCCATTTAACAGAAAAAGGGTTTTGTTTAAGCTGGTTACACACACACACACACACATGTGGAACTGAGTGTGTGAGAAAGAAAACACATTTTTAGGAATAATTGAATTGTAAAATGTATTCAGTTAATGTTTAGTTATTTTATTGCAACTACAGATGGTAGGAATTCAGGAATTCTAATATATCATATATGCCATAGTAGCAAGACATCAACTGAAATAACAAAGGAAAAGATTTCAGCCTTAATCATGAATATAAATGTTCCTGTGATTTTACGTTAGACCCCTTCTCATGGTAACTGGAAACATTAATGTTAGATCTCTAATACTTAGTGGTGAATTAGACTTGAATGACTTCAAAGAACTCTCCAATGACGCAAATCATTTCTCCTTTCATTGAAATACTAACTAATCAGCTGCTAGGAAGCAATTTGTATCTGAACATTATTTACACAGACACAATCTGTAACTTGCAGGGAGATAGGCTTCAACAAAGCAGGCTAATTTCTGCAGGCTAATTTTTAATTTGAGCAAGAAATCATTTTAAATTATTTGGAAAGAAGAAAGACATTGATTTCCCCCCTTTTTTTACTCTACATAGAAAAAAACTAGCTTGAGGCAGTTGTAACTAAACATGTACAAAGTACCTACCACCAAACCCTGTAAAGCTTAATTCATTTATCTCAGGAATGAATAATGGGTCTTAAATTACAGGCAGTTAATTCTAACCCAAAAACAGATGAGAATAAAAGGTACTACGCATTTCTTCAAATCTTGATATCATAAATAATGTGTTACCTTTCCTTCATTATTAACTTTCAATCTTTTTGAACATTGTCTAGTATGTGAAAAATGTACAGTTGTATGCTGTTTATAGTGTTTACTGAAGGGTCATTTTTAAAAACTTGGTTCCTTTCAAAATGAATTGTTGGTTCCAGTTTTTTTCCAGTACAGTACAATTAAATGACCTTTCTTGTTCTTTCTCACACATTTACACACATTCCTTTCTTAGTTTCTTATTCTATCTCCTTATATTTATAATTTAATTCCAGCTTCTATTCTACTTAGATACCCATTTATCATCAGTCATCAGTGACTGATTCAAAGGACCTGTCCATTTTGGCTCCTGACCAAAGTCCATGACTCATCAGATACCTATATTTCGGGATATATTTTTCTGAACATCTGGTCAAATTTCAGTGTTCATTTCTATACAAATTATTCCATTGAGGGATTTAATCTACTGGGAATGA